CACAGTCAGCACACAGCAAATGTTAGTTTCCTGGTCACTCTCTGTTCCTGGGTCACCTGGCAGTGGAATCTACCCTCATCTTGGGAGATTTCAGATATTTAGGTAAAAACCTGGAGTATTATAAACACACTTTTTAAAATTTAAAATGTTAAAGAATTTTAGGGGAATGTTCATGGGAGAAAAATTACTTCATTTTTCTTTTTTAATATATTTATTGATTTCAGAGAAGAAGGGGAGAGGAAGAGAGAGATAAAAATATCAGTGATGAGAGAGAATGATTGATAGGCTGCCTCCATACTTTGGGGATGGAGCCCAAAACCCAGGTATGTGCCCTGACCGGGAATCAAACCGTGACCTCCTGGTTCATCGGTTGATGCTCAACCATTGAGCCATGCCGCCGGGCTGCTTTCTTTTTCTTGTGTGGAAGATAATGGGACAACGTTCTGCCTGGGGTTCCTATGTGATATCTGGGTGCAGGACCACTGTTCACCCTGACTATTTGACCTTGGTCCAATCATTGAGTCAAGCTTTCCGTTTTCATCGTGGGTCTGATACTGCCCGACTGGTCTGAGGCTAGAGAACTACTGAGTCTCAGTGTCTTTAGCTGGGATGCAAGGAGCTTCCCGCGTGTTATTCTCACCCCCCTAAACCCCTGTGTTCCAGATGTGGAGGCAGGGCCGAGGAAAGTGTGAATACACAAAAGCCATGGGCATTCAATATTTCTTCAGTATTGCCCTTGTTGGTTTAGGGTTACAGAGACATCTACTAATATTTTTTTCCTCTGATAATTTGTTCTCTAAAGAATAAAAATAGCTCTAAAATTGTGTACATAAAATAATTTAATCAGACAAATTGGATCGGAGCAGATAGAATTAGAAAGGACACAGGATGGCCTTGATCCTTTTACCTTCAGGTGGTGGCATCGTGCCAGCGGTAAATAACGTTATTTGCCCCGCAAGGAGCCGGTGCCGGTGCAGTGACAGGAATAGCGATGACTTCATCCGTGACTGTCCCAGCGTGCGCCCCGCGTCTGGCAGATGAAATCACGCTGTCCTTGTCCTTCGCCGGCACCAGCCCGCCAGCTGGTGCTCCTTCTCCAGCGGAGGCTGTGCCAGGACGGAACCCTACCTTCTGCTGACAGTCCATTCCTTTCCACCCTTTAGCACAGGCGCTGCTGCTGGACTCTGGGGCACCCGCAGACCTGCTGGGGTTTTGAAAGAAACAACGGGACCCCAATGTCATAGGGTCCGGCCCAGATTCCCTCCGCTCGTGAGGGAGCGGCTCCGCGGTCAGCATGGCCGTCGTTAGGCGGTGGTTCTTACGTCCTCCCCGGGAAGAATGTGCAGTGACACAGCCGAGGTGTTGGATTCGGAACCGGATTAGACTAAAGTTACCGTGGGCCTTGAATTCAAACCAGATGTCCTGGGACCAGTGCTCAGGGCGGCCGTGAGGAAGGCAGGGCGTGACTCTGGAGGTCCACGTGGCTGTGCTGTTGGCTTTCAGATGTGAGACGACAGGAAAGGACAGAGCCTTCCTGCCTGTCCCCTTCCCCGTCCCTGCCTTTTCTCTCCAGCTGCAGCAGCTTAAGGCAGCATCTCTGAGTGAACGCTTCCTTCAGAGGAGGTCAGAAATGACGGGCCAGCCGTGTGCTCGGACTTGGAGGCTGCCGTCTGAGTAGCTGGAGGAGGGGGCTGCAACATCCCAAAGCTGACTTTAGGGAAGTCCGGAAAAGTTTCATTTTAATTTTTATACATGCTCAGTCAGTCTTTGCCTTCATAATTGTATAGCATTAAAGTATTTTTTTCCCATTTTTTTTATTAAATTATTATCTATGTACATATTTTAACATTGCCCCCCCCTCCCATACATACCCTCCCTCCCCAGAGTTTTGTATCCATTGGTTGTACTTATATGCATGTAGATATACAAGTCCTTCGGTTGATCTCTTATCTCCCCCAGATCTCCCTACCCTCCCCGCTGTAATTTTACAGTCTGCTTGTTGCTTTACTGTCTTTATATCTGACTTTTGGTTTGTCAATTTATAATGTTCTTTAATATCCATAAATGAGTGAGGCCATGTGGCATTAAAGTATTTTTAACCTGTGTTTTTTCACTCAACATTATGTCAGAACCTGGAAGAGTTTTCAAGGTTGTAGCATAGTTCATCATGGATGGCCGCCGTGGGGTCATTAACTCGCCGTCGGGGTAGCCTGCAGCAGGGAATAATGCTGCGATGGGAACGTCCTTCAGGCAGCCTTGTCCTTTGCTTCACGTTGTTTCTACGGGCAAGTCTCCAGAAGTGGGGATGTGTTTGAGCATTCTTGTTACTGCAGCCTGTGCCCACTTGCTCTCTACAAGTCAGGCCAAGCTCCTCTCCCTTTGGCAGTGCAAGAGGGGAGTGGCTTTGTGCATCTTGACAGGCTTGCTGTATAAAAGTTACTTTGCTGATTGGCTAGGTGAAAACGGCCCTTGCAGTTTTAGTTTTTGCATTTCTTTTACTATCAGATAGGTTGAATTATTTCCATCTATTTGTTTACTAACTGTTTTTTTTTTCTTTTCTTTTTTATTACAACACTAGTGGCCCAGTGCACAGATTCGTACACATTGAGAGGAAGTTAATTAGAAGAAATATTTTAATACCGCTATTCACCCTTTCTCTATAATAGAAGTGCCAACCAAATTCACGATCAACAATGACAGATTGAAACACACATGTGCGATTGGCATCAGTGAGAGCCTTACATGTATCACACATGTGTGAGTCAACATTTTTGTTAAATTGCCAGTGTACGTCATTGGTTGGTAGGTCAGATGAATGGTTGGTTGGTCACTTAGCCTTTTATATATATATAGATTATAAGAAGGTAATATGAAGTATGAAATATGAATAATGTATCTTAATTTCCTCATCTTTACTGTGCATCAGTAGATACTGTATAAAGTTGAAATATGTAGGTAAAAGAATCACCTACTTTCTCTCATCTCTCTCTCTCTTTTCCTGCACACATGCACATACACATACAACACACACATACACGTAGACACACAATATGAGATATTTTAAACTTTAGAGAGACCTCTTATGAACTATGTGGAAAAAAACCCACATTTTTCTTCAGAGTTGAGTGATTACTTTGGTCACACTAGAGTTCCTTCTATCAAATTAAAATTAAATGTAATGGTTTAAATGTGATCACACATAGAACTCAACCTCAATTTCTGCAAAATGATTTTTAACTTCCTCTCCTGACAACAGAGATATCTGGACTATTGTTCAATCAATGCTAACTGGTTATTTCTGTGGTAGAATTTTGAGACGATTTTAACTATCATTTTTGTACTACACTGAATTGGTTTTGCTTTAAAATAATCATGGCATTCTTTGACATTAACAACTATCCCCCAAAACCCATGAAGGATCATTTTTAAAGGTTTCAGAGTTGGTCCTCCACATGGAGATGCCAAGGAAGTAGTTGGATATATGAGTCTGGAATTCAGAGGGAAAGACTGGATTAGAGATGATGCATTTGGGAGTTGGCAGCATGTCACTGATTTTTGAAGCTCAGAGGAATGAACAAAGTCATCTTGAGAGAGACTGAAGGGAGAAAGGACAAGTGCTCAGGTCCCCACTGTGTGCATCTCCATCAGCGGAGGAAGGGTGGGGGAGGGACCCGAATTAGAGCCCAAAACACCCAGGCTCGTTGGAGGCAGGAGGAACACCTACCTGTTAGCACTTGCGGAAGTCGTGAAGCGGCCAGGCGGTTTTCATAGGATCCTGGGATGCAGCTCAAATTCAGGGGTTGCCCACTGGATTTCATTCCAGGACATACTGTTCATTTGGGTGCCTCCTCCTCTTCTTTCCCCCAGACCTGGCAAGTTAGAAAACTAGCTGTGCTTTAACTCCACTCGGAGAATGAGTTCAAGACCTCTAGAGTCTTTAGGGTTTGGCTAACATCTGGGTTTTTAAAGAGCTGCTGACTTTCAGTAGATGTGGCCAGAGTGTTTGGAGAGCACTGGGATGGATTTTTTAAAAAATACGTTTTTATTGATTTCAAAGAGGAAAGAAGAGGAAGAGAGAGATAGAAACAACGAAGAGAGAATCATTGATCGGCTGACTCCTACACCCCACCCGCCTACTAGGGATGGAGCCTGTAATCCAGGCATGTGCTCCGACTGGGGATCAAACTGTGACCTTCTGGTTCATAGGTCAATGCTTGGCCACTGAGCAACACCAGCTGGGCGTATGGATTTCTAACGAGCCACCAGCAGTTTCTGTTTGATGAGTGCTTTATTTGGCTTGTGAGTTTAAAGAACGTGGCCTCTGTATACATCTCTATGACCCACTCAACTTGTAATCCTGTCTCCTGATTAGTAGGGAGTCTTTTCCTGCAAAGCTGAAAACTTAAGCTTTTAAAAGCCTCCTTTACCTGTTGACAAGAGGTCAAGTGCGGGAGGCTTGATGCTTAGGTTGTTTTTCTCAACTTGCCCCTTGAGAACAGCCAACTGCTGCTCAGCCCGCAGGCCTCCCTTTGGTAGCCTGGAGAGTTTGCCTTCCCCGGTTAGCTGTCAGCCAGTGCCGGCTCATGGGCGGCTGGAGCTGGTCTGCCAGCCGGTGACCTCGGCCTTTGGTGGGTGATGACTGCTCCTGGCCGTTGCTGGGACCTGCTTCTCTGTCATTCAGCCTCTCTGTCAACAGCCTGGCATTCAGCAGAGCCACTCCGGCTCTAATGCTTCTCCTGGCACCGGGCACGGATCAGCGTCCTTCACGCCTCAGCCCCCCGTGCCAGGAGGGCCACACCTGTCCCCAGGTGGCGTGGTTGCCTCCTACCTCACAGTCTGTTTTCCTGATCCTGCCACATCTGCACCAGGCCCTTTCTTTGCACAGATGTTTGCAGAAGGACGGTGAATTTTCCAGCTGTGCACTGCATTCAGCGGTAGGGCTTGAAGGAAGTAGACTTGGATGTGGATCTGATTAGTTTTCCAATTTTCTCCCCTTCTAGGTAATACTTACTAATATCCAAAACAGAAGCCCTAAGCCTGGCCCTGCTCCCCACGATCAAGAACTAGGTTTTTTCCTAGAAACAGGACTTCAGAGAGCCCATGTCCTCTATTTCAAAAATGGGTAAGCCTTCTTCATTTTTTAATCAGGGTCCTCAGGAAGGAGAATAGAAAGCCTTATAACGCTGTCTTCAGTTTAGTTATTATAACAAAACTATTTAAAATATGAACTATAATTGGATTTTTTTTTTTTAAGAGAATGAACATAGGCTCTTTTTTCTTCCTCACCTGGCTCTCCCAGTTTCCCATGAGATTTGAAGGTGGGAGGAGGGGGCGGGAGGCTCTCGTGTGAGTCTGGGCTACAGGTGTGGAGCATCCAAGCCCAGAGGGGGATCTGATGGGAGCTGTGCATGATGCTGCCTTCCTGACAGGGGAGGGGGACAGCACAGCCCTCCCGCCCTTTGTTAGGGGAAAAGGTAGTGAACTGGAAACCCTGGCACACCGGATCGTCTTCCTGGAATGGCTGATCGGCTCAGAGAATCGGATTTGCCAGGTCTCCGACAGTTTTCTTTTTTGAAAGACGTCTTTATTGATGTTAGATAGACGAAGGGAGAAGGGAAAAGAGATAGAAATGTGGATGAGAGAGAAACACGAATCGCTGACTCCTGCACGCCCCCTACTGGGGATCAAGCCCGCAACCCCGGGCATGTGCCCTGACCAGGAATCGAACCCTGATCACCTGGTTTATAGGTCGTCCTCAAACCCTGAGCCACACCGGCCAGGCTCAGACAGTTTTTTAGGAAGGTGAGCGTGGCTGTGACGCCACACAAGAACGTTGCTTCCCCAAGCGGCCTCTGAGGAGGGTCTGAGGAAGGTCTGGGAGCCTGGATGTGAGGGAGAGACCTCTCTAATGCATTGATGTTTGATCTTTTCTGTGTTGCTCTTACGAGAAATGCCATGATTCTGTTCCACATCTCTTCAGCTGACCCTTGTTTTGACATTGTGCTGCAGGATAGATGTGCATGAAGACCAACAGTAGGTACCGGTTCCTCTGTAGCTCCCGCTGGGCTGTGCATGGAGGCCCAGAGGCCTGTCCCCTCCCTCTAGGACCGAGGCCCAGCCTCCGGACACACCGACAATGGAGTTGCTCCCTCTTCATTGTTACGAGCTTCAAACCTTGGGGTGCAGCTCGTGGACGCGGGATTTCATCTTCCTGGTAGCCCAGAGCCACACCCATCCAATGTCCATTTGCCTGTTTCCCAGGCCCCATTAAACTGCGGGCAAGGCCTGCTGTGCTCTGAGGGCCCCTGGCTCCAATTGGCATGGTCCACACCAGACACCCCACGGTTTGGAATGGCTTTGGCACTGAGACGTGCTCAAACTGGATCTCATCTGCCATGGATTGAGATTGTCTGAGCGATGGTGCATGTCCTCTACGCTGAGTTTTGCTGTTTTACTAGTAGATAGAGGGAGAAGGGAGGGGATGTGGAATGTTTTTTCTAGTGATCTGTTTTTCACAGAGGACCCCCAACCAATACCCTTCCTCCCTCTAACCGTGATCTGTGTGGCAGGTACGCAGTTTCTGGGGGGCTCTCGGGGGCCACACCCACCCCTTCCTTCGAAAACGCTTTGTGTGAGGCTGATAAGGATGGCCTGGGGAACGCGTTTTCACCTCCGAAGGCTGTTCGTTGAGGAGGGGCAGCTGGCCCCTGGGCTCTGACCTCCTGCCGTGAGACACGGCTGCCCACTGAGCCCAGCGGAAGAGGAAGGAGGAGGAGAGTGTGTTATCACTAGAGGATGGGTTACCTGCTGGGGACTGCGTACTGGCTCACTTCTCATCTTACCCAAGTTCACGGAGATTCCCACTGATGCAGCCAGAGTGAAGGGACTGCTCACCTTGGAAGCCTTTGCTTCTCTTTTTCTCGCCCTTGCCCTTCTCTCTGGGCTCAGAAGATGCATGGTGATGGCCTCGGGCCAGCTCCTCCGCGGTGTCCCTGTGGGGCAGTGTTCTGAAGGCTGGGCTGGGAGGCCGTAACAAGGGATTACTTTTGGGGGAGGGGGAGGTCAAGGCCAGTTTCGAGACCACGGAGGGAGAGAAACCTGTGGGAAGTTTTGGTCAAGCCAAGTGCCATCAGGGTTACTCAGGCCCAAGGGCCACGCCGGGGGGGTCACTTATCTGTGGGCGCCTGTAGGCAGCACCTCTGAGAGCAGGGGCAGAGGGGGCAGCCGCTGTCCCTGAGCCCCGGGGCCTCCCCTGGTTCCAGCTCCTGATGCGTCCGCTCCGTGCTTGTCTCGCACCTTTTTTTATTTTCTGCACTTTAAAAACGGGCACCTGAGAACGTATAATGGACAGGGTCTGTCAGATTTTCAGGAATAGGGAAATAATGCATTAGACAAGAGTTTTGCAATTAGAAACAGAAATTGATAAAGCACATCTTTTTCTTTAAAAATATACTTAAATATATTCAGTTTTTTCGGTTGTCTACAAAATGCCCCCTAGGATTTAATGAGTTGTAGTAATCACTTTTATTCTTTCATTATCCCCCATCTTTTTCAAGAGTGAGCACCAAACTAGTGATCTTGAGTCTCCTTCAGGGAGAACCGGACCCCTGGACCAGTTCCTGGGCCCCTCCTAATCCCTTAGACCCAGGGATGCTTTTTGTGCCAAGTACTTCCCCTTCACCATCCTTGCTCCTCATGGTGGCATCTCGTTCATGTCCTGTGCCACCTTTGAGGTCGTCAGTATCCGGAGCATGGCCCCTGTTCTACACAAGGCGACCTGGCTGCAGGTTCTATCGTTTAGCACTGCACCCCTGCGGTCACTCCGTGTGGAGGGGCTTGGTAGAACCCTCAGACAGTGGTTTTGTCCAGCGCCTGCCTTCTGAGAGAGAAACATCAATGATGAGAGATAATCATTGATTGGCTGCCCCTTACTGGGGCTGGAGCCTGCAACGCAGGCATATACCCCACTGGCAATCAAACCATGACTTCCTAGTTCATGGGTTGACACTCAACCACAGAGCCACACCAGATGGGCTCACTCAATAAATTTTTGTCAAGAACCTCACTGGGTTACTTCTAGTGCCAAACACTGTTCTACGTGAATAAGTCAGGCCAGTCCCTGCCTTTATGGGGTTGACATCTTGGTTGGGGAAATAGTCAATAAACAAGGCAATGTGATTTACGGAGGGTCACACCACTGATGGGTGGCGGAGCTGGGACCTGCACATCCGCTGATACCCAGTTCGAGTTCTAACCACACAGACCACGTAGCCCACACTCAGTGCTCTCTTCCTAAAAATGGAGTACTAAGTAGCACAGCTCCAAGGAGTGCATTCCACTTAGAAAATAGGAACTTTTAAAAGCCAGTCCAGATGTAATGTCTAATAATAAAAGCATAATATGCTAATTAGACCAGACTTCCTTCCAGACGTCCTTCCAAACAAAGCCAGGGACGCGAGGAAAGCCCGGGTCCCGGATGCCTGTCGGCAGCTGGGGGATCAGGCCTCTAGTTATGTCATAAAAAGTGTCAGCGAATTTTCTTTCTCTGTTTAAATGTATATTGGTCTGGCTCATCCCTTAATGCCACCAAAACTTTAGTATGGAAACAGAGGAATATTCGTCAATGTCGGTTATGGATCTCTAAGACCACTTCCAGGGTGAGCCTTGGGCACAGGTGATAGCTTTCAGTGCTCTTCATACCTGCCAGCACTTAATGAGTGTTGAGTCCTGTGCCACCTGGAGGTTTGTCAGTGCTCAGAAAGGGGGTGGCTCCGTGGTGGTCTGTCTAGGCTCCCAGTGCAGGGATGGGTGGGCGGGGCGAGCATCTGTGTACTCCACTGTGTGCTCCCTCCCGGAAGTTCCATTTCCTTTAGCAAACAGTTGGTCCCCTTTATCCACTTTGGTGCCCCCCCCCTCCAGCGTCATTTTTTAATATAAGCAGTGTTGCCTTGTAACATAATTGACATATTATCTTTATTAGGTTGCCAGCGAAACAGAATTGGAAAGCTCACCTAAGGTCAAATTCTCAAGCAATAGAGGAAAGGAATTTGTTAACCCTTTGTCCACATTGTATTTTTTCCTGGTTTAACTTGTTTACTGTCTGTTTCCGATCACTGGACTATAAGTTCCGCTGGGGTAGGAACTTTTGTCTGCTTTATTTGGGGAGGGATCTGTATCTTGAGCAGTGTCTGGCGTACAGTTGGACATGAATGAATGAATGAACTCATTTTCAGCTGAGATGGCTGTGGTTCACAGATGCCTAGCAGTGTGTTTTCTTTAAACGCAGTTAGTGCAACATTCATGTATTGGAAGCTAGATATGTTTATTGAACACTGCTAGGTCCTGGGGACATAAGGATGAACAGAACCACCTGGACTGGCTTCATGGGACCCGCTGCCCTGATTGCTGCGTCTTGGTGGGAAAGAGGGGGATGTCACCGGCCATCTAGGTCTCCTGTGAATGACGTCCTTCTGAGAAAAGAGGGTGAAGGGGGCCGGGTAGCAAATGATTTCCTTGATCTCAGGAACAGACAGCGTTTCTGGGTCATAGGGACCTCTGTTGTGTGCCCTGACTCTGAGATTGGGGAGAGGGGCATGTACAGTGATGGTGGCTTTAGTTGAGAAACTCCTTACAGAGCTTCTAGACATGAACGAGCCCTGGCAGACTCGTTCATGTCTAGAAGCTCCTAGCGTGGCCGCATTTTGGTACTCTAGGCCTCCTTACTTCAGCGTACCACACACACATCTGGATGGGATTCCGGAGTTCCCACCCAGGAAAGAGAATTATTGTCTTCTGCGGGTTGGTTGTTTGAGAACATTTGCTCCCAGGGCCTCCCAGACCGACGTTTTTAAAAAACAACAACACGTGACTCTTCCAGATGAACCCTTCATGGGCTGTTCATTATTGGACACAGAAGCACAGAAGCGTGTTTTAGCGTGGCCTCTGTAGGCAGCCCCTCGAGGGCAGGCCACTGAAATGACACGTGTGTGTTGGGAAAGAGGAATGCACATCCTGTCTGGACAGAAGGAAGCCAGACTCGCCCTCTCTGACTGTTGGGAGCTTTCTTGGTAATTTGGTGAATGTCTGTGCCGCAGAGCAGGCCGTGCTGTAGCTGCCCAGGAG